ATTAATGTTAGTCCAATAATAGAATAAGAAAATTCTATTGTCTTATTTTGTTTACTGTGATTTTAAAATTACAAGACTTTGTTTGACTTGGGATTAAAATCATTTTAAGAGTTTTTCTCTGGGTCCAATTTTTTTCACTTATGCAAAAATCATTTTAACATTAATTTACATTATCTGCAAGGGTGGATCCAGGGGGGGCAAAGGGGGGCTGAAGCCCCCCTCCCCCCCTTCAGCAGAAAAAAATGATGCTTTTTTAATATTGTTTTCTGTTGTGTTGACGGAAGAAACTCAATTAGCCCCCCCACCTAAAATTTTGGCTGGATCCCCCCTTGCTCTGTCCTGATTGGTTATCTTTGTCAAAAGAGTTCTTTTCAGTGTCTGCAAGTTAAAAGTTATCAGAAATCAACCACAAAGACAACTTTATAATTTTCTGAGGTTCAAAACATATTTACTATACCTTTAAGCTTTGAGAACAATAATTTATAAAATGACAGTATATTGGCCATACATTTTGTTAAAAAATATGTACTATTTACATGATAAAAATACCAACACCACAGTCATTGTGCATTGTACTTCAGGCGTGGCTGATTGTTTATACAAGGGTGTCGHGAATACCAGCATACGATGAATATAAATAATGTTATGGACTATTAAGCAGTTTTGTGTTCCTTAAGCAAGAATAAGACAAAATGCAAGATATAGAAAAGTTGGTACAGCTTCTTAAGAAATTCAAGGCTTTAGAGTACCTTCRGTCCAATCTTTATTAGTCCTGCTTTTGTCATTTGCCTTTAAAGAAATCAAACTGCTTTCCAGTTCATGGAATTTCAGAATTAAATTTGGCAGTTTTACAGCGCTTCTCAGTTACATGCGCAAATTAAGTTGTACAATTTTCTGTTGTGACAAAGTAATTTTTGGTGGACCTCAATCGAGTCGTTTCTTCGTTTTCTGTAACCCTATTTTGTCTTGAAAATTTGTACGATTTTGCGCTCGTGGTCAAGATGCCCTAAAAATAATTAAGTAGGCTGTGTAAGAATTGAAATATTCAAGTCTTTTCTAAGGTTACCCACAATACTCCCATTTCAAGTTCACCTTTGCTCAGTCTTAGCCTCAATTGTGGTATAAATGTGTTCTAACAATACAAGTTGATTAAAAAGCCACAGGTTTTGGTTGAATAGCTGAATATTATAATGCACAACTGAGACTAAGGATGAGCAAAGATAACTAAGTTATTTCAAGTGTTGAATAGCTGAATATTATAATGCACAACTGAGACTAAGGATGAGCAAAGATAACTAAGTTATTTCAAGTCTTGAAACTGGAGTATTTGATAACTAGCAAGTTTTTTCTACAAATAATCATTGGAAAGGATAATTGACAGTGTCTGCTACACTTTAGATAATACTATCAGGATTATTAAACTAAACTAAATCACTGTTTAAATTATCTTGTGCAAAAAATCAATTGTGAACAAAATTTAGAAGTAATTTTTCAAAAATGGTAGAAATGACAACTTTCACAAGTTAGAGGAAAAATGATGTAATATGGAATGGTTGGTGCAAGCATATCATATGAATGAGCTTTATGTATTTTAAGATAGGTAGGAAAGTCGTAGTTTCATTAGGCTGGAAAGTTGTAGTGTCATTTAGATAAACCTCGAGACAATTAAAAGTCCTAGTTGATGTTACTTAGTAAAATAGTAAGTAAAATAATGAGAATATACTTAATCATATGCCCAGGTTTATCCAATATTTCTACTAYGCTTAGCTAAGCTAGCCATTGATTTTAAGACACCATCACATAGGCTTGGTAATCTTAGGTTAGAATGCCAGTGGATGATATCKGAACTATGTATGCTACAAGTAATTTCACAGAAACGAGGAGGTATCACCTCCATTGGCAAAGCAAAGAGCAAGGTCAGCTTTGATATAAAATAGAAGTTTTTGCTGCTTGATTTCATGCTTTAGATACAAAAGTATTAGTATTTTAAAGGTGCCTATTACGTCTAGATATAACTGCAGTTATCAGCAGCAGCAGCAATCTTGGAGTTTTCTTTAAAACAGCTATTTTAATTATGAAAGATAGAAGTGACTGGAAGCATAAAGCATAAAGCATAAAGCCAAAACATGACAGAATACAGGTCTTGGCACTGGATATATATCCCCAGTGCTGGCCAAACTAGAGTGCAACTTTTGAACCTCGTTTCAAAAATAGTCCAAAAAAAGCCTTTAAAAGAACTAGCCATGCGGAGCTGCAAGTGTTAGCAACCTTGATTTGTGAAGGGTGGCTTGCAGATTCCCTTGGCTGAATTTCAGGATTTGTCCAACAAGTGATAAGATGTAATGCACATCAAAATTATAGTCAAATCAAAGAAACCACTGATATTTTATTATTCGTATGATGACCTGCAAATGCTCCACATTCATCAGCCATCTTTTATAGCTCGTTTCATCAGGGTATTCSATAATTTCCCCCACATTTTTGATGCAGATTTCATAGACACTTGTTTCCCTTTTAAACATWATAGCATTTTTTATGGTTACTAAAAATAGATATAATTGCAAAGCTTTGTATGATCCAAATGCAGACAAACATTGCAAAAAAAGGCTTGATTACATGAAAATAAAGAAGAATATCAGTCAAAAAACCATAGTTCTTCCAGGAATCAGAAACAACAAGACTACAATGTTGCAGCATGTCAACATGTGCACTTGGCTTGGCTTGTCTGCATTTCAATCCTATGATGCATTATTGTGACAGCATTTACGGAAAAAATCTATTTGCACACAAGAATGACTTTGTCCAAGGTCAGGAGAATACTAATGAAGTTATGTTCTATTATGATTTTGATAGTCTATTGATTTGCTTTGGTATTGACAATATTTCCCTTAGGTATGGATTACGTGTTAAAATATGGATACGTCTACTAGGACCTTTGTCGATTATGTATAGCATTAATATATATTTATATATATATGTATAATTGATACATTGATTTCACTTTTTTACAACTCTTATACACATGATCATGGTACACTGTACATATTACTTTAAATATCGTTAATTTCTTTGTTTAAATCTTACTGAACTTCACAACCCACACCACAATCACAGCTTACCTCACCTTGAATTTCCCATCTCAATCAACTCACACCAAGTCCCAGAAAGTAAGATTTTCTATTCTTATTACAACTACCAGTTCTGACTTTGCTTCCACACCCTTGCTACACATCTATACCATTTTATATTCACATCTGACAACGATATGCTTTGTAAAAGCACCCTTTGTGCTCTATCAGAAAAACAAAGAACTTCTTCCACTTAACAATGCAAAAAATCACATGAAAAGGAGTTTCTCACCTCGGCAATACATGAAAGGCAATATAATTAAAACTCTGCATGTATTCATATAACAATAATTAATACCTGTCTTCCAAGACTCAAACTTTTCAAGCTCAAGTACGAAGAAAACAGAACTTTTTAGTTTGTAATTTTGTCCAAATTGCTGCCAGGCTTTTGGAAAACAAATGAACTGTTYAGAAACTTTAAGTCTTTGAACATGATTTAAAGGCGATTTAACAGTAATTTTAAATTTCTGGCTGAATGAAGAGTGTTACTTGCTTGGCAAATGACTATAGCTAGAGAACTTTAAAAATTTCTAATATGGCTATACTTAGAGACTAGTGAAAATAGGTGATTACGTCTTGAAAATAAAATTTGGATTAAAAAATTAGCGATGGTAAACAATCTTAAAACATAATACGGAAAGTCTTGATGGTCAAAATGAATCTCACGAGCTAAAACTGTGTAAACACTAAACACTAACCTTTGCAAACCAACAAGAATGATTATAACCACTTCAACTAACAAATTACTAATACAAATTACTAGTAAGAAAAAAAAAGAAAGCAAACATGAGTGAAGTTATGAATTCCTAACCCTGAAACTTGAGTTTTGCCATTAGCAAAACTTTATGATACTTGGATTCCTATTCTTGTATTTACCATTAGATCACCTTCACTGCCCTCGCTAGCAATGCTTGCAGTACTATATATGTCGTCAGATTCCCCACTTGCATATCCCGTTTCTTCGTCATTTTCTACATCAATTTCTTCACTTGTCGTTGAGTCTCCTTCGGAGCTCCTCGGTCTTTTAAGTTCACTATCTCCTTTAAGGAGAAGAAGTTTTCGTCGCAGAAACATCTGTTCCTGCGCTAATTTTTTCTTTGATTCAATAGCCTCTCTTTCTGAGGACTGTAGAACCTGTAGAGAGTGAAATAATAAAAACGATATTGAGTACAAATAGAGTCTTACAAACAGCATCATCTAATGAYAACATTCTTCATTTGCACCTCTGGGTCAAATGTACACAATGCTATGAGATGGTATATGGATTACTTTACTGACATTCACATTGTCATTATAAAAAGTTTTTCAAGTAGATTGGATAATAATGATAAAAAAACCATAAGAAAAACCAAGATGAAACAAAAAGAAAAACAACTTTCTTAATTAAGAAACGCTAGATATGTTTGGCCTTTGACATGCTAACAAAAAAACTTGTGGTAACACACACATGTGTGCATTTAAAATGACAATGAAAAAACAAATGACAAGAAAAAAAAACATGGTTATCAGATGATTTACAAAACACTAAACCTACCTATCTCCTTGATAATATATTTAACAAAAAACTAACCCAAATCAGAAAAAAACTTTAGAAAGCTTCTACTCTCCTAAACCCAGTTATTGTTTCACTCAATTATTGTTTCAATAAAATTAGCATTTGTAATACTTCATTTTTTTGTTTCAAGTTTTGAACCGCCTACATTTCAACATCAATATAGTGCTGTATGTTCCCAATAAAAGCCTATTTGATTCTTTTTTCCCCCACCTGCTTTAGTTATCAACCTTAGACAAAGAAGTACAAATTATAATAAGCAATACACCTGCAGTTTCTTGTGCCATAGGATTGGCTAGGAAAGAAAACAAGCCAAGCCAGAATTAAGAAAGTCAACAGCAGGAAGCTTGTTTCCTATAATTTTGGACAGAATCATTTGCATGTGATTTAAGAATCACATTGCTCACACGTACAAAATATAACTTGAAAGGGATATTCTCAATAAAGAGAATATTTAATAGAGGAATTGATTAAGTTTAAGTTTTGGGACGAATTACTGGCAGTTTAATAGAAAAGAGTAATTTATAGCAGTCTTAATGACAAAGGAAGACTCGATCCAAGCTTTGACTAAAACAGTTAAACTTTCCTACACAMTAGACCAGCACAGACATGAGTCTAGCTCAAACTTCTCCTTACAAAAACAATAGTAAAGTATTGGTTATTCTACATTCATCATGTCATAGCAAGAACGATTTTTTTACGAAACATTCACCACATGCTAAGAATTATGCAATTCCACTGGAACTATAACTAGAAACTTTTTTGATCACAGGATGAAGACTGAATAGCACTATCCTGGAACTTAGCAACATCTTTAAGTTAAACAAGAATGCCAGATTGATAGTAAGATATGCAGACTTTATGACATTAAGTATATTATCTAAGACAAGTACACTTCAATTTCTTGGTTTGTTTGAATTAGGATGATTTTTTGTTTTTTTTTGCCTACTCCATGTTAGAAGAAAAAAACTTTTCTGTTTAACTCGAAACTCAGGAATTGTGAAATCACTATTGGGTATAACCAAGTTTGGTAGTTATAATAGAAAGCACGCTATTTTGGTCTAAATTATGAATAATAATGAGGGCAAGCACCTGTTTCAAAAGGAATAATTATACCCAAGGCTATTTTGAATTAGAAAGATAAATGTCTCAGGAGTTTCCATGAACAACTGGAAAAGACACCTATTAGAATGGCAGACAATTTCAGATACGCGTTTTTGTAGAAAAGTTGGAAACCAAGGGCTTCCTGTAGACACTGAAGTGGCTTTTATTATTCCATAATGTGGTTAGAAGTAACAGGTTGTCTAAAAACATCCAACCATCTGCTTTAGTAGTCAAGAATTTTCAACCATCTTATTTCAATGTTTTTATTTCATATTCAAAATTTGAAAGATTTTTTAAGTTTTCAAGAAAAAATTAAAAATTAGGAAATCGAGAAAAAAAAAATCATAAGTGTGAAATAAAATATGAAGAAAGCCAAAGGAGTGCCTGTCCATAATTTCATCTTCCAATTTTGATTAATAAATTTTAAGTTACTACTCTGAAGAGAATTCAAGATTATTCTAACCTTTATATATTGTTGTGCGCTCTGTAGAAGAGCTAATGTGGTCGCCTTTTGATGTTCTGGCGGTGACGGGACAAGATCTTTCAGAAGTTCCAAACAGTCCCTTAAATGTGCTCGTCTAGTGATAAGGAAACATTGAAAACAAATTGTAAGTAGATGTTTCTTCGAGAGGGGGATTTTTTGTTTTGGACGSGTATAGGATTTCAAATGATATCATATCAGATCAGAAGAAAGTAAAATTAACAACACATGACAATTTTAATTCAAATAATAACAGGAAATCACAACGTTCAAATTCAAAAGAAAAAACAATAGATTGTCAGATTGACTCGTGTCCAAATCTTTCCTTTTGAAGTTCTTTTGTACATTTTCTTTGTGATTCGTTAGAATTTAACGCCGATGATCACRAAACCAGTCAAGCAAACATTTTTCAATGCTGTTGAATTCATTTTTTCAGGTTGACGATGGCTGCGCTTAGTCAACAGGTACCCGTGAACCTCAAATCTTCAAATTTTGACAAGCCTTTGGTTTGAATGTTTTCCATGTATTGAAAAATCAAAGCACTTGCCCTTCACAGCCAGCAGAAAAATAAACAATCTTAATGTCCCATTGGCCTAAAAACCTGCTTTAGAACTCAAATATTCTTATCTTTGACGACTCCCGAGATAAAAAAGTGAATGCGCGTGTCTAAGATCAAAAAAATATTCGCACGTGTACGGTGTTGTTATTGTGAGCCACGTGGCAGAGTGCTAAAATAAGTCCCGCGCTAACCATTATAAGTAGTTAACGAATTTATTTCCTTACGCTTTTTTTTTTGTCCCTTCACTATTTTTAACGAGATATTTTTCAAACATTTTCCTTGGTGACTGGGAAGTAATCAGAAAAATATAGAAAACTCACCGGTTTTTTTCCAGCTGGTTGTGTGTTGTCCGACTGGTGTTAAACTCACCGATTTTTTTCCAGCTGGTTGTGTGTTGTCCGACTGGTGTGAAGAAGCGATGGACAAGASGTGAAAAAATACGGTTAATTGACGACAAGCATATAGCAAAACATCACAAATCAAACACAATTGCAAAAATATAGGRGAATTTCTTTAGTTCAAACACGGAATATATATATTAGCGGTTTAAAACTGTGGGGCTAAGTAAAGAGAAAAAACAAAAATGTAAACGCGCGCCTGGACTTTGGTTGTCGTTGTGTTGTTAAAATTTATGAAACATAAATGAGCGCCTAGTCCGTTCRCACGAAACGCCTGAGACCCACTTTACGGACATTAAGATATATAAYATTTGGGATGCTGAGTCCAAATCACACTAGATAATTCAAAATTTCCTGTTTTAAAAGTTTTTGAAAATTTTGGGGGTCTTGTAAGAAAAATTTTAGGGAAATCCCGGGGAGACTTGAAACTGACAAAGAAGCGAATAATATTGTGGCAGTATGTAAATTTCATACCCCTCAGTTTCAACACTAGACTAGGCAGAGGCTGGCCTTCTGTGAGAGAATTTTGTTATTATGAATCGTGGAACTTTTCCAAATCCTAGTTGGGCAAAATAGTCCGTTAATATGGCCTTCGTTGGTTGTGTACACAAYACACTGGACAGCAAAGTCAGGCGCCATAATTTCCAACACAATCCCTYGGCTTGTCAAATCCCTCAACTTGGTGGGCCGAATACCAAAAGCTGTGTTCTCGTTTGAGGCTATTTGACACGCTGGAGAGCTTAAACAACAACCTACCTGTAACTTGGCGATCTTCTTGTAGTCTTTTTTACCATTTTAATAGGAGTAGAGCATCTTTTCTTGGCTAAAGTTGGGCGGAAAATGGACATAATCGGGGCGTGAGAACGGCATGCGCCTCTAAAAAACATCAATATTTCTAGTATTTTACCTTCATCTCTTTTCTCTAGGATCTTAGCAGCTTCTAGAAGTTGCTCAATGTTATTCATCATGATTTTCGAAGAAGAAAAAGCCCCAAAACCAGCGAAATTTCCGAAAGAAAAATTATTCTGTAGATGCAGCAGATCGTAAATACTGTTTATGTGAAAATGAAAACAACAGTGTGTCACGCGCAAGACGTCATGGAAATCATACGCTGCATGCAAGGAGCAATCTGATTGGTTAAGAGCCACAGAATATGTCATGAGGGGCGTTGGATACCAGTTTGAACCAATAAGAAACAAGACGCATTCGACGTGTGAATCCACATGTGCAGTACGGTGTTCCACATGGGCAATAAACGATAGAGAAAAGCTACCCTTTAATATAAGCATATTGCTTTTTCGGTTTAAAAATTCAATACGAAATATCATCCTCTGTAATATAGTTTAATTTTTTCCCCAAAGTATATTTAATTTCCGTGATTTTTTTGGAGCCGAGGTCATATCACATGTCGTTCTATGACAGCTCCTGTTGAAAGGTCCGGTGAGGCCTTTCGATATAAAGCTGACATCAACGCCAGGTCATGCGAGAGACAATACGTTTTCTTTTGCTGATCAGCACTTTCGAGGTACAGGATAAGGCATGTCCTAGACTTGCTTGCTTATTCGCCCACGTATCTGATTTGCGTCACTGCCTGTACTGTATTCTTTATACTGCTTTCACGGAATTGGCCGATCCTAGCAACATCCTCCAGTACTGACTTAAATCGTTTATTCCCAGAGGTCCACTTAAGACAAAATATCCCTCCTTTTAGGGTACTTTTATGTAATATTTGTTAGCGTTTGCTACGCACGTAACCGATTTAAAAAACGATAGGCCACAAACCGGACCTGTAAAACAAATGCCTTGTACATAATTATGATAGCTTTGCAGATTATTATAATTATTTTCCTCGAAATCATTATAAAACATATTTTTTAGTTTCTCTTGTCGATAAATAAAACTAAAGGTTGATACCAATAGATTTGGATGTGGCAATTTTATAGTAATCATCTAGTGAGTTGGTAAAAAAATCTGTAATTTGGGATGGCAAGTTTTGCGCCGAACGGACTTTCGCTTTCTAGTCAGTACTAGTCTCTTGCAGTACATCGTGAATATTAAAATCGGCGACGCTTGTCCTTTCGTTAGTCATGCAAGCTTTGAAAATAAATTAAAATATATGCTTTTAAACCAATCGTAAATGTCAGGATTTTAAGGCAGTTTTTTTTTTTACTTGGGTAGAAGTGAATTTGTACAATCGAAGTAAAAATTGCTGGACAATTTGATTCGTGATATGGCCTTTAGCAGCCTTAATTTGGTTTATATTGAGAACGGTATCTTATATTTGGATGTGGTTGGGTTAACATAAATCAGCCGCAAATTTATAGTCTAACTACTCCGACATCGCAGTTTAACACTTTATTACATATAATAATTCCTTTTTTATGTATTTAAGGAAATCGTAGCTAATTTTTCTATTGCTAATGATGGGTTTTGACATATTTGGCTGTTCGGTGTTGAAGGATGCCATCGTCTGAGATACTATGAGTGATAGCTGTCAAATATGCACTACAAGTTATTCCCTTTWGTTGATTTTGAATGCAGGCATTCCAAAAATTGTAAACAACGACGCTACACTTGGGCGCCATTCCTATTCTTTTGAGAAATGCAATCTTTTTGGACCATGAAATCTTTTCTTTAGTGGCCTGGTAGAAGCGTAGTGGCTCCTGTCATGAACGGCAAAACCACGTCTTTTTGCTAAGTGACCAATAGTATGCAAAACATCCAAAGGCGTCCCTAGCTATTGGACCAATTTCCCTTCTTATTTCATTCGTTTCGAATTCTTTTACAGTGAAAGGATGCCTATTTGGAAACCGGAATTTGAAGCATTGTTCGTGTTATTCGCTTTATCGTCTGATGCACGCAACAGAATCCAAAATCTATTTTCCTTTCCTTTTTTGGAATACATGTCCGAGCTTCCGCCATGAAGTTAATCCAGTTCTGAAACAAGCTAAACTGAAAAAGAGAGTAATTTTCCGCAAAATTATTTTAAAATGGTAAATAATCAAATGCAAAATTTGGCATTGTTAAAATAATGTTTTCAAATCTTATTTTGAACAGAGATTTAACTCGATGTAAACACCACATATTTACATTTTTTATGAGGTTCACATGATCCCTGATGGGAAACCAACCGCGCCGACTCTCCCGGACCGATCTTGCATGATATTTCAAAACAAAAACCTACAGTTAAAATGATTCCATCAAACACGAACAAACATAAAAACTAAAAACTTACAGAATTGATTGATCTAAATAGAACAAAACTGTTTATAACTTGTTTTATATATTTTCCCATTTCGATTTTACTGCGGCTGTGTATTCAAGTACATCTTTGCAAGGGGCTAGAGATATTAAAGCCGGGTCAACTGATAAATTCAAGTTAATGGTGAACTTTATTAATTCCTAGCAGCTAGAGACAAAAATGCCAAAAATAAAAGAATAAAATCGCAATGAAATTTATGGGAATTTAAATCTATTTATCTTGTCCCATCCAAAAATTGATGCTTAAACTCGTTACTATTTGCACGTGAAATCATTCTGGTCTATTTTGATGCATGAGTTTTCGTGACGACAGTATCATTGATCAAGATGGAACTAGAGGGTGCCTTTAAAATTGAACGTGTCTGTGCGCAGCAGAGTCGTATAGGTAAATATTATTAACGAGCAAAAGGAGGAAAACGCTATGAAGGTCAAGATCATTGCGTGGGTCTTTTGACGCAGGGGGTGGGGATGGAATAGTTGGAATGGTTATGAAGTTTAAATATTTCATGGGGGATGATCGGTCAAGGGAATGGTCAAGGGTATTCAGGTGCATGTTGCTTTTTATCCATCCATCCGACCATCCTTTCATTTTTTCTTTTCTCATCTATTTTCATTTCTTCCTTTTCGGCCTTTTTTAGTTACTTTCCTTTATTTTCCTTTCAGCTTCATCGGGCATTTTTTTCTTCATTTCTTCTTCTTTTTAATTTATATCCAAGCTTTAATATAGATAATTACATCCGCGTCAAATTTGTTACCTCGGATATTTATGTATTTTTTCTTCCTCCATTGTACATGAACTACATACTAAACGTCCTCCGTTTCACTGTCCTGTCAAGCAATAAATTGCGACATAACTGATATTTTCCTCAGCAATCACGCAGTGACATGTGCCTTCAGATTTGCGGATAACATCGATATCAATCGATCTCTTGCAAATTAGAGCATCCAAATCAGTATCTAGCCAATCAGCTGATAGCTGTACATGTAGCCTATTTCACAATACATATATATGCAACTACTTCAGTAATCCATCTCCTCTAAATCTGCACGAAAGAAACAAGAAAAACATTAAAAACAGAACAAAATCTAACCAAATTTGAGATAAATTCAATTTTTCATAACGAGTTTTTTTTCCCATTATACGAACGGAAAAAAGGTGAATGCATGCAAAACGTTTGATATTTTTGTTAATCGTGACTTCCGGAGAAAAGTCTTACATTAGCCTACTTAAGGCTTTCAACAGTAACGATCGAATGAGTTGACAGTATTAAAGAACAATATGTCATTTTACTCTCATAAATTTTGTCTCAAAGTATTAAGTCAGCTTTTAAATTGTCAAATCGTGATACATAAGACAATCGTAACTGTTTTCCCATTTATCTCCCTTACTGAAGCCATTGAAAAATCTCACGTATAAATGTGTTACAAATGCATGGTCTCTCACTAGATTTTTCTTGATTTTCTCTCTGTTCTTTAAACAAGATGCTATCAAGACCCTATCTTATCTTTCAGAGCCAAATATGTTTATATTATTTTTCTAGTCATTTGTGTTTGACAGCTAATCCAAATAATCATTTGGACGTAGACTTGAGTGAAGTGTTAACTAATTGATCATTAAAGTCCGAAGAAAGTGTTTGAAGAGCTAGGATTACGTAACTTCTTCCAATTGAATATTCTGGAATTTTCTCTCAAAAGTTATTTTAATAACTTTAAAAATAGGTACAAATTTTTTATACTTGTGAAAAGAGAGTTCCATATAGTATTTGATCCTAGAAGATTTCTGTGGTATCGTTTGGGACAATATGATATGTTGTATATTCCGTGTTGGTTTGTTTGCACATGTCTAGCTTGTTGGCCAGTTAAATAGACAGCAGTCCAGGAAATGTTTACTTTTCAATTTTGTGTCATTAAATTGAAATTTTTTTTTTTCACTGGGAAATAGAAAAGGAAAGGAAAGGAAAGGAAAGGAAAGAAAGGGCCGAAGGGAGGCAAAAACCCGCCAGAAAAGTCCGGAAATATTCAGAAAAATTCACCCAAACATTCGAACCACCACCATTTTAAACATTTTATTTAAAAAATTAGAATTTTAAATCAGAATTGTAAAAAAATTCCTGGRACTTTTTGTTTATGGGTTACCTGTGTGACAAGAAGCACAGGCAGCCCAGAATGATGTCTGACTTCAACCGATAGAGTCTGGGACTAGAACAACAAACAAACGCGCGGCAAAGTTCGAAGTAATTTGAACTGCTGTCAAAATAACCTCTTTTTTTCCTTTAAAAAATATACTTTTGTTCAAGAAAAACGGCATTTTTAATCGTTAAAGGTATCCTTCAACGTATGGCTTGATAGAATTTGATTTCATTCGTCGAAACGATGGCAAATCTTCCCAGAATCCGCAACTATCAAGACTTGGTGAGTTTGAATAATTCTGCTGATCAAAACTTCCACATTTAGTTCAGTTATTCTTAGGGACCGTTCATTTTTTATCGGGAGGGGGGGGCTGGTGGTTTTTGGAGCTTTCTCAGAAAAAAATGTATAGCCCGCCTAGTTTGGTACAAATTTTTTGTATGGCCCACCCTCTCGTTCATATTTCATTGAGATGC